AGGATGAGGCCAGCCTCTTTTCAGTTGTGTCCAGCAACAGGACAAGGAGCAGTGGGTACAAACTGGAACTCAGAAAGTTCCATCTGAACACAAGGAAAATCTTTACTGTGGAGATGAGAGGGCACTGGATCAAGCTGCCCAGGGAGGTTGTGGAATCTCCTTATCTAGAGATATTCAAAATCTGTCAGAATGCTTTCCTGTGCAACCTGCTGTAAGAAAATTACTTTAGCAGGGGCTTGGACTGGGGGATCTCCAGAGGTCCCTTCCAACCCCTGCAGTTCTGTAAAGAGATTTAAACACAGGAGAAAGCTGTCAAAAGTATTCTTTATATTGCCATTCTTTGAGAAGGAACTGACTACTTATCACTGTCCCTGGATCTCTCCCCTGTCTTCTGAAGTATGTATTAATTTAACACTGTTTATTCTGATCAGTATAGCGTTCATCTCATGGTATCCTTCTCCCTCAAAAGAGTTTACAAGTATTGTGTAATATTTCTAAGTACTAGAATTGGAGAATCTTAGTATTATATTATTTACTGGTGGTAGAATGTAATGCTGATTTAGAGCCAAACATCCCCAGGACTGCATGTTATGGATTATAGTTACATTGAGCTTCTCTTACTTTCTCCCCAGAGATGATCCTGGAGAAGCATTGTACTGCTCAGTTAGCAGATTCAGGGTCATGTTAATCAACAAATAGCCTCATCCCCACCAATTCATTAAGAATTTTTTTAAGAAACAAGACTATAAATAAAGGCAACTAATTGTAGGTCACATGTTCTGCCAAATGATTGTTTTAATTGGTAAAATGTCCTCCACGCATTAGTATGTATTTGTATATGGGCATGTGATGTTTTTGTTTTGTTTTCCTTTTTAAAGTGAGTAACACAATAATATGCAAGAGAAGGTTCTGTTGGTATGTGACTTGTATGTTAGTTTTCATTGTGATGGATCAACTTCCATTTTAGTTACCTTTCTCTCCAAAACAATATTCTTGCATTTTCTGTTAAAATCTTACACTTCAAATTACTTTTCCCAATAATTTTTTTGGTTCTTTAAACATAACAGTTAGAAATAAATATTTCTTGTTCTATAAGAACAGAATTAATTCAACTTTTTGCTCAGTACACTCGTTCTTCCATCTTCTCTGTGAGCTTGCATTCAGTAAGTTAGCTTTCCTCTCTGGTTATACAAAGGAATAGTTTTGCCCTGCCTGGCAGGTTAATTGCAATTGTAGTTGCTTGAGAGGAAATGTGGTGGTATAGAACTTGATGGGTGCAGGCTTACAGAACTGTAGATGCTGAAATAGTGTCTTCCCTTGGCTGCGACAGATATGGACACTGGGTGGACATGGTGGGATTACTCTGCTGCTCTCTCTGTTGATCTACAGATGGCTGTGATTACTCTCTTGAAAGCTGAAGTGGTGGTTGATGACAGGCCCCTGTGAGGCAGTAGAAGTTGCAAGTCCAGAAGCTCCATTACAGAAGAGGGCATCTCTTAGTGCAGTATGCCCTTTTCTTGAGAAGACACTTTGGAAAAATGGGAACACAAATAATGCTCTGACTGCTTTAACCTCTCAGTGTGTACAGTACAGGGAGACCTCGGTCTTAGGACTGTTCTGCATAAAAGCAGAAAATGTGTAGACCTGATGATGGGATGTGGGGTATTACTTTTATATTTTGTGGTAATATGAAGTAATATGCAAGGTCCCCTAGTAGTAGTTCAGAGGAAGGCATGAAAAGCCTCTGTCATCCATGTAGAGATATTTTCTATTTTTTTTAATGTGAATAAACAGCTTTAAATGATAGACTTTATTTTTAATATTGTTATATGATTCCAAGTAACCACAAAATATTATAGAAACAGTCCTTTTATATGGAACGTCATAAACAGGTGAGTTCACCTTAAAACTGTTTCTTGCCTGGGAATAAATTGTTGTCCTACTTATAGAAACAAAAACGTTTTGAGCTAACTGAAGCCAGGAGATTTAGAACTGGTCAAAAAAAAGTACCTTTTCTGGGAAAACTTCAGCCAGAGAGAAGTTCCTTTTCTTGCCAGTTTCAAAACACAGAATCCCTCAGCTGGGCCTAATAAAGAAAGCTGTGTCTCCTGTACATCAGTGTGAAAGCAGTAAAGGGGAATAAACTGAGTGCAGTAAATTGTATCAGCTCGTTGCATTAATGAGCAGTTTGAGTCTGAGCTCTCATTGGCTTGTCTGCCAGAAGAGAAAATGAGTAAAACAGGAAAAGGACATATGACAGAAGCTCTTTGCTGGTGCTGTCTTAAGCTTCTATCATTGAAGGATACCCTTTAGCTCACTTCAGACCCATTAAAAAATCTACTTGGTGATTAGTAACTAGTGGGTAAGAGCAGAAAACTGAAGAGAATAAAGCTATAAATACCTAAGCTCTTGGGGTAGCATCCTGTAAAGCTGTCAAAAAGCCTTGGTTAAGTGACAAAAGATACCCTCTGGTAAAAAGAAGAGTCAGTGATATGGGGACTAATCCATTTTTATATATGGAAGGAAGATTTTTAGCTCCTTCTAAAAGGCAGGTCTTTTAATGATGTTCATTCAGAACATCAGAATGCAGAAAAAAGTTTCTTTTCCAGCAGATGACACTTCTTACATACATGTGCTAATCTGAGTGTCTTGGAGTAAATTTTCAGGTAGGGCAGTCTAATAAAATAATGGCTTCAAGTGGCATTGAGCATCCTTTTCAGAAGAGAAGGGATGAGTTGTTTCATTAGTAGTTTCCATGGTTTGGCCTCTCAAAGTGCTCTTACTGAAGCAATGAGGAAATTTTATGAGGAAGGTATTATACCAGTGTTATATCTATTCTTAGCTATTCTTGCTTGAGATCCTTTTGCTTAAGATAATGCTGGGACTAAACGTTTGCAGGAATTTCATAATCAGGCCTTTTCTCTCTTTAGTAAACTAGTTCAAAATGGAAGTGGTGAAGTTTACAAATAAATGTTTCTATTTCTATCCTTTTTTTTTCTATGGCTTTAGAAATTCTTTAAGCATTTTAAGTTGAATATAATGTCATTAGTGTTTGGAATTTTTTAAAAGAATGGATTTTATATATGCTACAGTTCATGTGAATACTAATAAAGGAAAAAATGCAGTTAATGGAAACCTCGCTGGCTGCCAGCCAGTAATTTTGCTGCAAACCAGATGTATAAGGGTAACCTACAACTAGAAGGCTGAAATTCGTTTCCAGAATTGTAATAAGTTTCCATTAACTCCTGTTCTTTACCAGTACAGTCCGTATCATGTCATTAAACTTACTTTACAATTAAATTCAGAAATCCAGGCAGGAAAAACATAAATGATTTGGGGAGTTGGGGGGGGGGGAGGGGGGAAGTGGTAAAAAAATTTGCTTCAGAAAATTACTTTTTTTTTTTTTTTTTTAAACGAGTGTCAAGTGATACTGCCATATCTTCCAAAATGGTCCAATCATGTCAACAACATCAGAATCAAACTTGCTAGTCAGAAAGGGATTTTATAGTTGTTTGGTTTGTGTTTCTCAGCAGAGGGTTGGTTGCCATGTATACAAATGATATATAGCCATTCAGTCATGGCTGATGGTTAGACTAGATGATCTTAGTGGTCTTTCCAACCTTAATGATTCTATGAGTCTTTGTCTAGAATTTGTATTTTGACTGATTTTTCTGTGAAAGCTTACATTTCAGGAAAGTAGATCTCAATGGTCTTTTTCTTAAACATTCTGCTGTCCAGAGAGGCATCTTGCAGTGTGAAAAAAGGCACTAAGATGCTGTAAATCTGCCTGCTCTTTATGAATGCCAACAATAGGTTGCTTTATGGAGAAAAGACAACTGTGACTGCATACTACTGCTGTTGTTTTTTAGAAGGATTTAGTTCTAGAGAAATCATAAGGGTTTTTTTATAGGCAAGGAGAAACAGAAATCTCTGATTTACCTGTATAACAATTCACAGCAATGCAACTGTATAAGATTAAGCAGGTTTTGTTTTCAGTAGTAGATTTTTCTATTATTACTTCTTGCCTCAAATTTCACCATTCTTTGTGGGTGGACATTTCCTGTCTGTGTTCTGTTAGCATTCCCTATGCCCGTATACCGGATTTGTTCTTCTCTCATGTGCAGTTATGTGTGTGTGTACATACCTAAAACCTGATACACCACCAAAGAAGTATATAGAGGCATACTGTACACCAGCAGGAGGCAAGAATTATCAGAACAATCAGAATAATAATCAGAACAGATTAATTTGTCTAAGAAATTTTTGTGAATTTTAGGGAAGAATATAGTTTAAACAGCACTGGAAAACTATGTATGTGACTGCTTGTAAAATCATATAAAGTTATGTTAATGACTGTATTCTAAAGAGAGATAAAAATCTAGTTTTCAGTGAGTTAGAATTTTCCTGTGTAATAATGCAGTCTTTCTTGTTTAATCACTGTTGCAGTTTATAGGACCTTACTATGTAAGGAAAATATTGACATAAGAGGAAATCAATTAACAGCATAAAAGTTTGTTTTAACTGCTCATCTTAAGTCTAACTTTCTAATGAAGTTGAAAGAAAACTGGTTGGAGTTTTTTGCTTGATCTGCTCAGGTCTTTCTTTTTATGTTCCACTAAAGCATCATTTATTTGCAAAGTGTCATATCTGCAGGGCTAAGTAGCCTTATATCCATGCATTGTTATAACGTCATTTAGGCTTACATGTTGTAGAGCCTCTCAAACATGGTAACTTTGTGTTGGGATTTACACTTTACTAAAGCACTGTGTGTTATATAGTACATATGTATGTTGAGCGCTTTGCAATTTTTATATTGTTTGGCTTGCTGGCACCTGAAGCAAAGATCTGTAAGTATTGCTCTGTTCAGGAGTTCTATTTTCTTCACAGGATGCCTTAAGCGGTAGCTAACAGTAAGTGTTTTAGGCAAAACAAAACAAAACAAAAAAAAAAAAAAAAGTTCATTATGATGTTATTTATTTTCTTTTTTTCTTTCTTTTAAGTCTGAACAGCCCAGTCCTGCCAGTTCCAGCTCCAGTTCCAGTTCCAGTTTTACACCATCTCAAAACAGCAGACAACAAGGTACCCAGGAAGGGAAAAACAAATATGAAAAGAACATGTGAAATCAATGAGTCAATAAAAACAGACTGATGGCATCTCATTATCACTTTTCTACTGACTTCCATAGGCTGAATTGGCCATTGTTATTCTTTAGAGGCTTTTCCTCAAGTGTTTACAAATCTGACTGTAAATGCAGAAAAAAAGGGGAGAAGATATGTATCTCTGAGAAAAGGGCACAAAGAATACTCTGAAGCATTGGGTATGTGCCAGTCAACTTTTATGTTAAACCTAAAAGAGTTTCTCTTCTTGAAGCTGTGTCTTGCAGGCTCATGTCGCGTGGCACTTGTGTGCCATCCGGAGCCCTGCTCAGGCTGACATGGCTTCTTTGGAAAGTGCAAGGATGTGTATATGTGGGCCCTTTCAAAGAGTCATGATATTCTGTATTATAAGCAGGCTTTAAGAGCATACAGTGTTTCCTTTGAAAGTGTGATTAGGGAAGAATGACGTTAGAAGCTGACGTTAAGTTTTGGCTTTCTGGCTAATAATTGCAGTTTACTCAGACCTCAGTAAAGAAATGCAATCTTATTCTCAGTGAGCTTTCCAAAGAAATACTTCTGTGAATCAGCTGAGATTCATAATGCACAATGTATTAAACCTCTTAGTCCTCACCTTGGCATTTTCCCCTGCTTTTGTAAGGTTGTACAACTGATACATTCTTAATTAGCTTTTGTTTTGTCCTTTAGATACAGAAGCATTAAAAAAACACAGCCTTTGGGCTAATTAAAATTGCATTTGTTTTATCTATTTATATTCCTCAGTGGTTAACTTGCTTTTAAGGTTATGGAAATACATTAGTATCTCAGGCAGACAGTTTGTTTTTACAAAGGTTTATGTAGTATGATCTGTATCTGTCCTGCTACTTCTCTGGAGGTGACTGGCACTGAATTTCTAATGTGTTTCTGGCAGCATTACTGCAGGTGAAAGAAAGCAAGAGCTGAAATGAACTGTGGTTGATGGCTGGCTTTAGGCATTTTTTTTATAATGAATGCTAAACAAAACCCTTTCTTGCTGAAACCTCATTTTTGCAGTCATGAAAACATCGTTAGTGATGTGAGCTGTCTATTACAATCCAGTAGGTTTTGATACCAGTGTTCCTGTTAGGAAACATTATTTGGGGGAAAATCCAGTTGATGTAGTGTTTTCTTCTGAGCAAACTATTTGTCGGTTTCTCCTGGGTCATATATAAAGCAAATCACAGACTGTCTTTCATTTCTGTACCTTCAGAAGAGTAGATGGAGATTTTCCCTCTGATGGGAGCTATTTTAAAATACTTGTATTACATACCTCTTTGATTCCTTGTCACAGTAAATAGCAATTATGCTTTCTTACTGGGAATTTCAGTTAGCTAAAAACATCTGTTGCCCAGGCTGTGCATTTGTACAGCAAGGAATGAAGCAGTAGGCATACTGTGGTATATTTGCCCTGTATATGTTGTGCTCTCGTGGAAACTCATGTTTTATTTTCTAACTAAAACTTACAAGGCCTGTTACTCTTTTTCCGTTTGGTTCAGAATCAAGTGCTCACTCAACTGTCAGAACTACTGCAAGATGGGCTTTTTTCACCACTTTTTGGGTAAACATTGGGCTAACTGAAATTTTTTCAAGTTCCTTTGCCCGCAGGGCTTACTTAGGGTTTTCTGTGTTTCCTTGCCAAGAATATTTTCTCTTGGACAGCTCTTAGTTTTCAGTTTCTTGTGAGCCACTCTGACCTTTTTGGAGAGAACAGATTCTACAACCCTTCAAAAAAAAAAAAAAAAAAAAGTTAAGTTAAGTACCACCAAGGAGCAAAGTACTAATGGCAGCATGACTACCAGTGCTAGAAACAGAAAACTTTAACACTGCAGATTGCTAAGAAGGCCGACTGAAGTCAACCAGCTAGGTAAGAAATGTCTTGTTCAGAGTTGCAGACTTGATCCTCTGTTCACTGAAAGCATATTTGAATGGCAGGTTGTTGATTGGCTGGGGATGTCAGTTGTGGCTGTTTGTCAGGAGTCTGCATTCATTTTTTCTTCAAGGCAGAAGAAAAAGCCCATTTCCAGCTTGAGATGGGACTGTGTGCCCCAGAAAGCAGCATGGAACAAGACAAAATGGCCCTCTCCTACATGTGGAAAAAAGACATGCAGGGATAATGAATTAGCTCAAACCTGGGAGGACAGACTGTGTGGGGAGAGTGTTGTATGTGTGCAGGTTTTCTTCTATTTAAAAATAAAATCAAGGATTGTTATTTGGAATGTCTTCCAGCTCACTGCCGACACAGCTACCAGTTTCCAAAGTTTTGAGTTATGTGCTGGTCTTTAATGCAAAGTGAACTATTTTTGTGACACTAAATATTGTTACGAAATTGGGTTTTGGTTGATTATTTTAACTTCAATGTCATTGTCTTTCTTCTCTGCTCTTTCCTTAAGGAGATTTTCTTTTATCCACATTTTTATCTAGTGTCTTCTGTATTTTTTTTTTTCCTCTTTGTGGAGAGGAGATGAATACATTCTCAAGAGCTGACTTTGGCCTATGGACTGAAGCAGGACATCACTGCTGCCAGAACAGACAGAAGACTACTGTCTTCAACAGAATTTCTACAGTAGTTACTAGTATCTCTTTGTGCAGTAAGGAAACTAGCCTTTCTAGGTTAGAGCTGGCCTATGGGAAATACCCATATGTTCTTCTCTTTTATCTCTCTTTAAACGTATATTCCTTCTTTGTATGTTTGCAGTCTAATGTTCCTTCCTTACCTTTCATCTCAATTCATTTAGCCCCCTATTCCTGTCTCATTTTTTCATCCCAACAGCCAAAGTTCTCAGTAACAGTGCTTTTGCAAAAGTTGGAAATAGGCAGATTCTTCCTTCAGCCATGTGCTGACCCTCTTGAGAATGTTTCAGAGGAAAATCGCTGCTGTCTCCAACTTAGCATTTGCAAATATCTGAGCACTGTTTGTCTCATACTTACACAGAAACAGAAAGCAAAGCACAACTCAGCTGCTTCTGCAGATCAGCAATGGTTGTACGGACAAGAATTCTGTGTAACTTGCCTTCTTTTGTGGTCTGTGGAGTGTCTGGTCCTCAAGGATCAGGCCCAGCAGCACCATTTGTGCCTGCTGCCACCCAGCCTCAAGGTGTGCAAACACATAAAAGAAACCTTAACCAAACTGCCTCAACTTATAAATATTTTTGTGCAGACTTGGTTGTAAACCATACTGAGCAGTGGCTTTGAAGTCACATACGCAAAACTGGCCAAAATTATTTGACCTGTGCTTTGCCAGGTTTTGGGCAATCCACAAAGCTATTACTCCTGAGGTGGGAACACCCTTATTGTTAAAGGGTCAGGCAGAGAGATGTCTGTCTGTTCTTTTGGCTGTGACCAAAGGTAATGCTCCTTGGCTCTGTTCTGCCATTAGCAAATACAGAGTGGAAAGGTTCATCTCCCTTTGGAGAACAATGGGGAGTTCATTCACATCAGTACTTGTATTTCCTGGGCTGGGAGAGTTACTGATTTTTTTATTTTTATTTATTTATTTTTTTTACATATGAACATCAGCAAAGTGCTTATTTGACCTGGAATTGATCCTGAAATAAGGGGAGCTACTAAATCTAAGTTTATCGAAAACAGGAAGTCAAAGTCTGCCTACACAAGTACAAGTTACAGTCAGAATGATTTATTGGACTTTGCTTCTCAGTGTGTGGATTAACCTAACAAATACACCGCTACCAGTAGGTCTCTGTAGATCTGTATTGGCAAGTAATACCATCTGATAAAGCAAGAAAAACTAAAACTTAGCAATGTAAAATACTCTTACTTCTAATAATAATAGTATAGTAATAATAAATTTCTCCTAAACTAAAACATGCATAGAGAATGCCTGTTTGTGACAGCATTTTATTTACTTCATCTGTGTTCCAGGGAACCAAACCTGCAAACACTTGAACACAAGTCACTTCATTGTCATGAGTGTCTCCTGAAGCTTCCTGTGTTGCCCATGTAAATAAATGATTCATAAATAAATGCCAGTAGCATAAGCCCCCAGTGCATTACTTCATATGTTTAGTATTTGACTCTCCCCTCCCAGTTCAATGCTGGGAAAGTCGCTTCTGTTATCTACAAATATGGGTAGTCACACTGCAAAGAGAGCTTCATTTGCCTGTTGTTTTTGTTTTTTTTTTCTTTTTTTTTAATTTGTTTCTGTTGTTTCAGGTCCATTGAGGTCTATAATGAAAGATCTGCATTCGGATGATAATGAAGATGAATCAGAGGAACCGGATGACAACGATAATGATTCTGAGTTGGAACGACCTGTAAATACACGAGGAGGAAGCAGGAGTCGTAGGTGAGTGTCTTTTGATGGCAGATAGTTTGGTGGCTAAAACATTTTTCTTATTATTAGTGGAATGAAGTCTAATGTTCTCATAGAGTACTGAGTAGCAAATGGACAAAGTTTAGATTCTTATTTTTAAAGGATGTGCAAACAAACAAAAAGCTGTTAGAATCAGCCATTTGCAGTGCAAATTGTTTCTGTACAAATCCACATGGATATGATGAACCACATTTATCTGACTTTTGTTTCATGCATTTGACTTCAGAGAGCAGTTGTAATTACTCTCTGGTATAAGAGGTAAAATTAAGGAATTTGATTGCTGAGTGAGCCAGCCTGTACATAATGTCACATTGTCACAACCCCTCTGCTTACCAGCTTTAGATTGTTAAATTGGATCAGAATCAGTGAAATTGAATTCAGAGCAATTTCTGCACTGCATATCGTAAATAATAAGTAAAAGTGCAGACAGATGGTTAAGCAATTGTCAGTCACAGAATTTATTCCTTAAAAAGGGTTCTGCTTCCTAGCTACAATTTCATGTGGGCATTCCAAAAGTCAGCTATTTTTCAGGCAGCTGAAAGCTCTTTCTGCTGAATCCTGGAATCCCTCAAGCTTTTTCATAGTGGATACTTTATCTGCTCCAAAACAGTTTGCTAGTTCCACCATTTGTGGGTGCATAGCACCTGAGCAACTCCATCAGCATCAGGTCTAAATGGGAAGGTGATAGGCAAGTACTAGTGAAGGTTAACTGCTTCTCTGGAACACTTCAGCAGCTGAAATCACAGGGAAAAAAAAGGTAAGAAGCCTAGCAGTTTGAGAGTTCAAGTCAGGTTATGTTCTAGAAAGGATTCTTAGGCTCAGCTTAGTGTAGAGATTTTATGCCTATTTTTAACAAAACTCAAGGTTGTGTTTTTCTAACTTCTTTTTATCCTCAATTACCATATTTTTTCTTCCAATTAGCAAATATTTCCTGTTGTTCCTCAGTAAATGAAGGGTAAGACTGCTAGAATAAGAGCTTTTTTACATGGCCTTTACATCTCTTGAGATACCAAGTTTTTAAATTTTAGCCAGGAAAGAGAATGTTATTTATGTCAAGAAACAAAGAACTGTTAATTGAAGCAATTTTCCAAACACAAGCACAGCTTTTAGGAAGTTTTTACAAGTGTAGAAAAATATCTCTGAAAAACATCATCTCTCTTATATGTGTCTGAGATACAGATTTACTCCACTTACGAAGGAAACAGCATAAATATTTCAAAAATAGTTAATTCTTTCTCTAGATGTTAACTGTTAGCTGGACAGTGACTTCTCAGCCCATTGAAAAGGATGCCATGTTACACTGGACTTTTTCCAGAATGCTGCCTTACTTGGATGCTGCTGTGCTACTGAGCAGCACTCTTCCAATTTACTTTGAATAATAACTCCCATAGGAAAAGGTTTATTCTTGGCCTCCTCCCTCAAATATGAGCTTGGTTCACTCCTGTAAGTAGTTCACTCCTGCCCTTTGACTGGCAGTGTAATCTCTTGCCTCTGTTTTTCCATAGGGTTAGTCTGAGTGATGGAAGTGACAGTGACAGCAATTCAGCTTCCTCACCACTACATCATGAACCAGCACCACCTTTGTTAAAAACTAACAGCAACCAGGTAAAGTCAGAATTCATAAATGCAAGCCTCACATGGAATATGCCTTGCACCTGACAAATTCATATAATGTTTGGTTACTTAAAAGAAGTCACTTAATCTGAAAATTGACAAAGCTATTTTTTTCAGGAGATGGAGAAATATTTGGCTTAGAAAATACTGTAAAAGCAAGTTATCATTCTTATCTCTATTATAAGGAATGTCTTCATTGCATATGAATTAATTTCATAAGGTAAACAATCTAAACTGGCTTTACAACATCAGTTGTACAGTTCATACTATTTGTGGTTTATTTTAGCATTAGACCCAGTTGAAATTGATAGGATTAATCTCACAAGTTTATGCATTCCGCTTTTCCCCTCTCCCTCACCAGTTTCTGACTTGAAGATGGGGTTTTTTTTTTTGCTTTTACTGCGAGATACGGTAGTCTTTACTTCACAGAAAGACTACTCAATCCATTTCAATAAAAGTTGGCATTATTCATATCACTGAAAGTCAAATATATGTTGGAGAACCTATGGAGTAGGTTCTGTATTTAGCAAAGGAAGGAGGATCCTTGACCAAAAAAGTATTCTTACTGAATGAGATACAGATTCTATAGGTTTTTTCGAAGATCATCTGTACATATTTCTCAATTTTTTTTGTGTAATGAAGATGTTTACTTCTAAAGAGGTAATATAAATGTTAAGTCCATAAATATAAGTCCTAATATGCAACATCTCACTTAGTCATGTATTTCACGTTCCTTTCCTTTTTGTTGTGCTAACAATATGTCTACTTGCTGACCAGTAGCAGTGAGCTAGCTAGAATGGAATGTCTCATTTTCTTGCTTTTTTGCAACTGAGCTGAGAATCTGAAATTTACGGAAGTATTAGGACAGATTCTTTAGCAGGATCTGTGGTGAAAAGGGGAGATTATTTCCAGCGTAAAGAGGGTAGATGCAGGTTGATATAAGATGTAGATGTAAGTAGATGTAAGATGTAGGTAGATATAAGAAAAAAGCATTTTAAAGTGAGAGTAGTGAAGGCACTGGAACAGATTGCCTGAAGATGTAGTGGATTCCACATCCCTGGAGACATTCAAGATCAGGCTGGACCAAGCTCTAGGCAACCTGATCAAGCTGTGGATGTGCCTGTTCATTGCAGGGCAGTTGAACTTAGAGGGTCTTTAAAGATCCCTGCCAACTCTGAGGATTCTGTGACTATTACAAGAGTTCAATTTGTGTGGATCCTAGTTGCAATTGAAATCTCTATTTGATAGGGTAAAGCTGCTTACTAGTATCATTCTTCTACCTGATGAAATTAGGCTTGTGTTAAAGTAAGTCCATTTATAGAACAAGTTAACATTGCTAGAAGTGTCTTCTAGTATGATTAGTGCTTTATCTCATTCAAACAAGATGTTCTATTTTAATTATGCATCAAGAGCACTCTAAGAAAGCAGCTTTTTCAAATGCAGTATGTTCTTGCTGAGTTTCTATCTAATACAAAGAATTTTCTTTTTTATTTTTTAAATCAAGGAAAGTGTCTAAAAGCTGCTATATCCATGCCTAGAGGTCACTTTTCAAGACCAGGCACTTTTTTTCCACTGGCCTACGCTGTACATGCTGAATCAAACAATTAATTTTTTCTTCAGAAAATTACGTTTTACTTTCTGCATTGCTTTTGACTAAGTAAAAGCACTTTTACTGCTGCCCCACTGTATATTTATGGTGCTGGTTGTACTGGGGAACATACATACAATTCTAACTGTTTATGCCAAGTGAAGTAGAAATCAGAAAGAACTTTAAGATAGCTGCCAGTTAAGCTTCTGGGTAGTCTAGAAATAATGAAAAGCCTGGTTTTGAGTTTAGATTTTTCCAAATGCTGTATTCTTTGTGTTATTAACAGCAGATTTTTTTTTGTATGTAATTGTATCCAATTATGCATTCATTTTTTTAATGGATTTTCTTTTTTTCCCAGATTTTAGAAGTGAAAAGTCCAATAAAGCAAAACAAATCTGATAAACAAATAAAGAATGGTGATTGTGATAAGGTAAATGCCAATGAAATAACAGTAAATTATTCAATATTTATCTATTTACTAAAAACAAAATAGTACTTAGAGTGAAAGGCTGTCATTGCAACATCTTTGCTTTGGGCTCCTTAAAGTGGAGATTGTTCTCCTTTTCTGTAATTCTTTCTTCTGTGCTATTTTGAAAATGCTTTCCTTCTCCTGAAAACACGTAGTGATTTAGCAAGTATCATCAGATGAGAATCTGCCCTATACTATTTATTTTGTCTACTCTCCTGCATGAATTTGCATTGTGCTTTTCAGATGAAATGATGGTTTTTGAACAGGAAATTTTACAGTAGTATTTTTAGTCAATGAAGAACTGAAATAAACATTTTACTGAATCATTTTTGGTAGTGTGCAGTAGGGAATGCCAATGTGTTTTAAGGCATTAACCAAGATAATTTTGTTCAAAATCATGTCACCTGGTCGTTGCTAAGAGTTCTCAGTCCTTTTGAGAGAGAACATTATTTCCCAGCATGGACTTTAAGTTCCTCTTAAATTTTGTATGGCGTTGTATTTTCTTTGTGCTAATGTGATGTAGGAGACCAATGCTGCAGTATCTGTTGCTGGATTTTCAGCATTATGATCCATACACTTCTTTAATTTCTTAAGCAGGGTGCCGTATTTCTCTGGGCTTAAAAGCAAACATGGTGTTTGATGTCTCAGACTGAAGGATACATTTGATACTTGGATGGACAGATGGGACATATGTGATGCCCCAGGAATTAAGAAAGTGAAAGTTGCTAGTGGATTGATTTTTCTTTATCTTTCTCCCCTTATGTCTCTCTGTTGATGCAGAAAATTCATTATTCAGTTTTAGAGGAAGAGAGGAAATCAGTTGTGAGAGTTTCATCTTGTCTTATCTGCAAAGTTGGGAGATGTTTTTTAAATATGCTGCTTGGGCAGCTCAAGTCTGTTACATACTGTTTGCCATAGCTAAGATGGAAATATTTTCAAGTAAAGGGTCACCTAGCTTTCAAAAGGAAGAGGCAGCTCTCCCATTAAAATTTAAGTACCTTAAAATTTTCAGTGTCATAAAGTATCTAAGGAAATCCACAAAAATTTATAGGTGGATTGTATGAAGCTTAAGAAAACTAGCCTGCTTAGTAAGAAAATCTAGCTTAAGGAAGGTGTACAATAAAATCTCCTTTTGTGTGTGAATTTTTTGAAATAGATGGCTATGATTTCATTAACAAGTTGTTTATGGGGGGGATTTGTTTCTAGGCATATCTTGATGAACTGGTAGAGCTCCACAGAAGATTAATGACATTGAGAGAGAGACATGTACTGCAGCAGGTGAGGAGCGTTCTCATGAAAAGTCACAGCATGCTCACTGAAGTTGTGAAGTCACTTTTTTTTTTTCCTCTTTGTCTAAGTCTCTATCATCAGATTTGACAGCCTTAAAGTCTGTGGAATCTATTTCCTGCCCATTACACTTTCAGTGTAGCTTAGGGGCTTTTTAGGCATTATTTAAATTGTGTTGCCACGCTAAATGGTAAGATTAAAAGTTAAGCAAACAAAAGCGTGTCTGAGGTAATTTTTTTAACCAATTTGTATTTATATTTTTCAATGTGTTGTACCAATAATAATGGAAACAGGATAGGTGAATAGATTCATCTGTGCACCATTCTTCATGAAAGTACTGTTGCTTTTTTGCTGAGAAGGACAGGCATTTTTTCAAATACACTTTTAAAGATGTGCTTTTTGGCAAGCAGAAAGCATGGAATTTAATGCCAATCTCAATCTAGAAAAAAAAAGTTTGAGTCTTCTAAAGTCGTGGAAATAGTTAAAAAAAAAAAAAAAAGTATGAACTAAGAAGGCTTGAAATATATTTACAAATTACACAATAGTAAGAACTTTTATTCTTTGTTTTGGGTGGCATTGTTAGACACCATTGGATTTCAAATAGTGACGATGAAGCAATAAAGGCATAGTAGCAAAACAGATGTAATTGTAGCACAGATGGTTATATTATATTTCTCACACTTAAATGCCTCTTGTGGACATGTTATAAATATGGATATTTTTACCACTTCTAAATGATTGCAATCACTCATCAAATTTCTCAACACTTGGATAAGGGTGTAAAAAAAAAAAAAAAAAAAAAAAAAAAAGAAAGAAAGAAAAAAGGAGAAAAAAATCTTTTAGTAAGCCTCAGCAATAATTTGTGAATGCTTGTTAGTCCTGGCTTTGTTTGCAAAGATCAGGAAAAACATTGAGAGGTCAATGAAAAGGAAGATCATGATTAAGAATATTCTTAGTTTAAAGAAAAATACTGATGACTATGTCCAGCTTCATGTTTTATAATACACAGTCATGTGTCCTTTGTCTTGTATTTGGTACCCTTCATATTTAGTGTACTGTTGTTTCCCAAGTTCATTTTGTCCTTAGTACAAACCAGTACATTCTTAACGTCAAAGCACAGTGCTAGCTGTAGTAGTTTTAAACATAATGTTGGCATTGAAGTGGAATGGCAACAGCATGTGTGTTCTTAAGTGATGTTTATAGTACCTACAGTTTGTTGGAGCAGGTGAAAGTCTCTTTCACATGTCAAAGTCTTACCTGCAGATTTTTAGGGAATTTTTACAGAAGTGTATGACAAGAATAATGAAGATATCAATCAGGGTTGTAAGGAATTGTAATGTCAAAGAACTTGAAGTTCTACTTGAACTGCTGAGGGATGTGGAAAGGAATGGAAAGTTTTTTGCTGTCTAAATTGTTAACAAGTCTATAGATAGTGACAGCAAGTAGGGATGTGGCTTGGCTGGAAATGACATAAATGCATCTTTTTGAGAATATGACTTTTCCTCAAGAGAGGTATTTCTCTTTGAGTTGCTTTCTAAAGAAAGCTAAAATTAATACACCAAAATCACAGATACACAGAATCACAGAATCACCCGGGTTGGAAGGGACCTCAAGGATCATGTAGTTCCAACCCCCCTGCCTAGCAGGGCCACCAAACGTACACATTCAGATCAGGTTGCCCAGGACCCCGTCCAACCTGGCCTTGAACACGTCCAAAGACGGGGCATCCACAACCTCCCTGGGCAGCCCGTTCCAGGGCCTAACTACTCTCCTTGTGAAGAACTTCCCCCTAACATCCAACCTAAATCTTTCCTCCTTCAACTTGGATCCATTTCCCCTAGTCCTGCTGTTGTCAGCCCTTCTGAAGAGTTTACTCCCCTCCTGGGTGTAGGTTCCCTTCAGGTATTGATAGGCTGCAATGAGGTCACCCCGCAGCCTTCTCTTCTCCTGGCTGAACAAGCCCAACTCCCTCAGCCTGTCCTCATAGAGGAGATGCTCCAGCCCCCTGATCATCTTAGTTGCTTAGTCACCAAAAGAAAGAGAAGACAAGAAAAGTGTGATGTTGAGGTGGAAGTGCCTAAATAAGAACTAAGTAATTGTGATATCAAATGATTCTTAAAGATACGAAATAAATGTCTAACAGGGAGAAAGTGGATGAAAAAGAACATTTGACCAAGAAATGAGTTCTGTGAGAACCTCCTGAGCAATTTGATCTAGATATTGGACCATAACTAGACAGAAATTGGTTTGAAATTACATTTTAAAAAGCACTCTGTCCAGCATCTTTCACAGTGATTAGGCATTTTATTTTCTCTTCATCATTTGCCATGAAAAAGTAGGGATGATTGAGTCTGAAATCACATTATGGTTAATGCTGGATGTCCCATATATTCACATTTGGCTTTCTGAAGCTGGGCTCCTAAAGCAGCGCTTGCTGACCAGATGGTGTTATCATGACTCATGAAAGAAAACAAGATTTCTTGTAGGCTTTGCCTTTTATTTTGATGCATCAGAAGGTATGTCTTCATCTTAAAGCCAGTGTACTAGACAGTGCAGGCGTAAGGAAGAAATTGAGAGTATGCAGCTCTGCTTAAAATTATGTTGTTCATGTCTACAAGATGCTTAACTTCAGATGGCAGCTATCTTCTGAGAATTTTCTTCAAGGAGCAGCTTGCAGGTCTGGAAACTATCAAATGGCTTAAAACCTCCATAAATTGAAAAATGACTATGTCATTAATTGCACTTTGGCTTCCTTAAACATACACGCTCATTTGCTTGTTTAAAGGCTGATAAATAGTTGCGCTATGATGGATAATGATCAAACTGAGCTGGAGAAACATGATGTAAACAGAGATGTACATTACAGCAGAAAAGCAAAGATTACTACACCGGGAGCAAATGAAGTTATTTTCATATTTTGCTGCCTGAGCTCTCTGAATATAACATTTTAGTGCTGTGTTTTTAAGATTGCAACTGTCAGACTACTTGACAACTAATCTCAACCTTTTGTTCTTTTTCAAATATTTCTGAATAGTACAGAGATGCAAATGCTAATACTGTAATTCATGAATTCCTCATTCATGGGCATACAGGCAGATGTTTTTCATTGAGCTGTCTGGGTTTATCTTGATATATTTTTATACATCCATTAAAGCTTTTGGGGTTCATTTCAATCGTCTTTACTGTGGTTTCAGCGTGGTGCCCTGACGCGGTGGCTATATTTTGTGAGGGCAGGATGAGGAATATATTAAAAATGTTTATATTTCCTTTGGTCTAGGGCTTAAAAGCCCAAAGCAGAACCTAATCAGTAAAAAGTGCTTATCGGGTTTGTTTGTTTGTTTTTTAAATATGCAGTGCTGCTTAAAAATACATGTGGTAACACTTCAGCATAATCTTTGTTCTTAAAATCAGGAATATTGCTGTGAGGATTTTGGGAGGTGCTGTTCTTCCACAGTAAAACAAGAAAGCATAGGCAGAATTGTTTAGCATTACTATGTCCTCTTGGCCACAGCTTCTGTAAAGTTTTGCAGCTAGTTATTTATCATACAGTGGATATTTGGGGACCAAGTCTATGATTAGATTCCGAACTTTACAAAGTAGGATTCTCTCTTAAATGAGGCTTCAGAGAGTGCCTTAAGATAAGAATAATATATATGGAAGGTTCCCAATGGTAACAATCAGTTGTATTCCATTTGAATTTTTCTCTCATGTTGGTTGTGGGACAGTAGGAGATGGAAAAGTGTGACAAGAACCAATGAATCAATAAGTGGACAAATGAAATATGCAAGTTTAAAATAAAAATTCCCATATGGGGAAAAAACAAACAAACAAAAAAAGCCAAGTGGCACAGATTTAAACAAAGTGCTAATAAGGGGAGGGTTGTTTCTTTGTACTTTCTGGAGTTCTGCACATCTGCAAAGGAAATTAGACATTAAGTTTGCTATTTTTTTTTTCCCTAGCCCGTGGAAAGTAGAAAGCAATGGTTGGAAAGGGATTTTTACTGTAACAGGCATTTTCTTCTTTATATTTTCTCATTTCCAATCTATTTAATCCACTCTGGGCTGTATCATTCCGTATCTGGCAGTATGCATGAAGCTATTTCATTTATCACCAACATAATCTTCTCTTTTTGTGGTCTGAACAACAAAAAAAACCAAACAGCTCATTATATAATGAAATGGAGAGGGAGAAATTATAACACAGTTAGTTCCAACATTTAGTTCTTTTCTAAGGTGGTATATTCCTTCCACGGTTATTATTTTAAGATATATTCTATTTGCCATGAGTTAATAAGTATCTCATTCAGTGATAGAAAAACTCATCAGAGTAATAAAGTGAAGAATACTTAGCAACAGCATTTCAGTAGAGGACTATCTGGAAACCCTAGAACAATGTGGGTTTCAAATGGAAGGATAGAAATACTGATACTAGCCTGAGCACAGAAGAAATGGTTGTGAGGGTGAAGCAGAAGAACAATATTCTGTCAGTCCATTACAAAGAGACTCTTTTCAGGATGGTATGACTTTTCAGTGCTCACTTGGAATATATCTCTTGGAATGTAGAAATGCATAAGAGATCAATAGCTATAGTGTGGGCACCATGTCAGCCCAGTCGGATAAATTATACTTCAGCTTTCCAGGATGCTGAGTGTATGTTTAGGTGGATGAAAATCCTAGCATATAATACACGTGGAATTACTTTTACAGGAAATTCAGTATTGAAAATGAGCACTTTAAAAATACACACTACAATTAAGAGACTACAAAATGTTGAAAGTGGAGAAACACGAGTAGGAGATTAGTGTTGGTTTCACAGTATTGCAGACTGGTTGAGTTTGGAAGAAACCTCTGGAGACCTTCTTGTCCTTACCGACTGCTTTAGTAGGGAAACCCAGAGCAGATTGTCCAGGCCCATGTCCAGGTTTTGAAGATCTCTGAAGAGAGAGATTTCACGAATGCTCTGGGCAAACTGTGCCAGTGTTCTGTCACCATCACAAGAAAAAAAAAAATGTTTCCTAGTGTTTATACAGAAACCACTGTGTTTGTGCCCATTGTCTCTTGTTCCATCACTGGGCACCACAGAAAAGAACCTGGATTCATCCTCTTTTGCACCCTTCATGTACTTACATGAAATACATCGCCAAGAGCCTTTGCTCCTCCAGACTGAACAAATCAGCCTTTCATCACAGATGAAGTGTACCAGTTCTTGATCTTCTCAAGGACTCCTAACAGCTCTTCTATTTCTTCTTGGAATGAAAATTGTGGTTATAGATGAAGTGGTCACCGTAGATTTTAAACCATTAATATTAGTCCTTCATGGTTCATCTGTTTCTACAAAAAAATTAAGTACGTTATTTGAGGAAAATAATACTAGCACACGAGCTAACCATAGATGTGAGAGCTCTTGAGTACTTTGTTGTTGTTGTTTAATTTAGACTGGCTTCTTTAAAGATTTCTTTTTCTTGCTTGTGAAAAGGTCCATACCAATTATTTTCTAAAGTAACTAGTTTGGAAGCTAAGCACAAAGTATGTATTCCATAGAGATCTACCTAGTTTGTTTGTTGTTACAGTGATTGGTTTTTGTTGTTGTATGCTGTGAAGATGAAGGGTTTTTGTTTGTTTGTTTGTTTTTTTTGTTTAGGTGGGTTTTTTTTATTATTTTTCATAGTAGAGACTGACCTTAAAAAATATGAAGATGTTCTAAAAAAAAAAAAAAAAAAGAAAAACAACAAAAAAGCTGTAGTATAGACTATGGTTCTGTGTGAGATAGTGATAAGGATAATGGTTTAATATGCATATAATAGTGAAGTGGGTTTATTTTATGCCATTAATACACTCAGTCGAAGTGAAATTTTCAGCTGCATCTTTTCTTTCCTTTCAGATAGTAAATCTAATAGAGGAAACTGGTCACTTTCATATCACAAATACAACCTTTGACTTTGATCTTTGCTCACTGGACAAAACCACAGTCCGAAAACTACAGAGTTATCTGGAAACATCTGGATCCTCCTGAGGATTCAGCATCTGGATGCATCAAAAACTGTTCTCTAAATGAAACATTCAGAATGATGCAACCAAAACGACGGAGAAACAAAACAACCTCGTTCGGTTTTATTTTTCATTAAAGCCAGTCATCATCTCTTAATAATGAAGAGGAGAAGTGACAAGACTCAGAGGACTGCTCTTCTCAACAAGAAAATGCTCCGGAAGAGTTTACCTGGATAGCCTTGAAAATCAAATACAATAACAAACAGAAAACTTGGTCTTAATGAATGTGTATGGTATCATGTATCTCTTTGTGGTATTCCACTCCACAAGATGAATGCATGTTCAACACACTGCCTTATTGCATAACTGATCTATTTATTACTGCATACATGTATTTCAAAGTCAATGAGTCACTGAATGACACTACCAGATGTTGCAAGTAGTGGTATTCCATGTATGCTTTTTTGATTCAGTCTCATCAAAAACCTAGTAATCTTATTCATGTTGAAATCCCACTTCTTGCTAACTTTCTCTAGACAATGAAAACACTGCAGTCTTGTTTTCATTTCTGCACTTCCAGAAATTGAGATACAACGTGAGGGACCAAATGATGGTCCTACATTTTGCCTCCAATCTGCCAAAGTTGGACCATGGCAGGTTGGACTGCAGGTCCTTGGCTCTATCCATTTATTGATATTGGTCATGGTAGAAAATGCACCAAATAGGTTCATATGACTTCCTGTCTAGCCTTAGTGAATAAACCATTAGGATTTCTAACAAAAAAAAATGTTATGTATACTGTCCTGAAACCAGAATTTTTTGCAGTCTGCATTTTTGTCTGTTTTAATGTTATAAAATTAATTATATATGAGTGAAGGTGTTCTGCAGGATCATCATAAAAGAAGAAATACTGATCCTGTCTTCTAAGGAAATGTTGTAGAAAATTCTTAATTTGGAGCTATTTATTACTATGAGTTTCTGCACTCCTTTGCTTCTTACCATAAAACTATTGACATAACATTTTTTGTTTGTTCATGTAGTAAATGGTCTCCTTAACCTGCTTGGGGATTTTGTTTTTGTTGTTTGTGGGTTTTTTGTTGTTGTTTTTGTTTGTGCTTTTTTTTTTTTTTTTTTACAACTGCTAAATTAAAAACCTTTATTTGAAAATAAAAAATTGGTTGTTACACAGTTACATGTTGAGATAAATATATATATCATATATATGTGTGTATATGTACACATATTCACACATATATAAATATACATACACACATCTGTCTTTTACACTTCCCAGATTCAATAACATGCTTGTGCTTCCAGAAGGATTTCTTGCCTATAAAAATGAGGTTTTTTTCATGCTATATTTTGTTCTTTAAAATGGGAATCCTTGTTCACGCATGATAAATTAGAGGAAGTGTTTCATAACAAAGTTTGGTGCTGTCACATTGCTGATGGTTTCCTGATGAAATTATTACCTTCCCAATGACTGAACACTAAAATAATTGCTAAAATAAAACCCCAACTGAAAAGAGAAAAGAAGAAAAAAATACGTACTTCTGGATGCAAAAGTTTATTCAGATTTACCAGCCTTAAAAAATGTATCTTATTTCTGGACAGGCCAGTATATGTCATGTATATGCTTTTATGCCACATGTGCTCTATGTATAGTGTTGAACAGTAGCATCTGTATGATTTATTGTTTCATGCGCACTGTTTGTGTAGCACTGTAAAACTAAATTCCTATTGGGGTTATTTCTTATTCAAATAGTAGATCTTAATACTGTTTCTTTAAGTCCAAAGAAAATTTTACACTTTACTGTTTTTGAGAGGGTGAGCTGGGTATTGGGCTGGGGGCTATTTTCGTATTTAAAACGTTGTTTGACCACACTCTGCAGGAAGTTCTTCTCAGGCTTCCAAAGAACAAGTGTACTTTTTCAGTAATGTTATGACTCTTATTGACGATTGGCATGAAGCATACTTGAAGCATTATGTTGTTCTTTTAAGTCCATGTCTTAATGTGCAATTGTTGGAGGGAAATGGGGATCATTTTAAAGTTACTTCTAGCATAAGGCAGGTGATAGTTGGGAGGAGGAAGGGGTGCATGTGAGGGGGATTAACTTCAATTTTTATTAATATTTTATATGAAAATGTTTGGAAATCAAAAACAACCTTAACTTTTGGTCTACTAGTGGTTGTTCAACATCCTGTCTCTTAGTTACACCATATACATGTGGAATTTTCTCCATTTTGACTTTCCCAAGTTTCATGTTTACAACTACTTCAGTCTTAGGGGAGTGGGAAGGATTCTATGGTACTGCTAGTGTAAGAATATTGAACTGTTTTGTTAGAAATGGTAAAATATACCTTTTTACCCTTAAAATACTGGATAAGCTTTAATGTTCATTGACAAGGGTAGAAGAAAACAGCAAGTAGGAAAACAGGTATAAGAAACTACACAATTGTAGTGTCAAGTTACTGCTGAATTTAATGCAAATCATGGAGCATCCATAAACTCTTAATTTTGTTAATTCAATGAGGTTGGGAGAGGGGAAAAAAAATAGACTGAAGAGTTGTGTGTGTGTGCATGTTGAGTTTTCCACAAAATTCTGATAGAATAAGTTACCAAATGTTGATCTGAAAAATACGTTAGCTATTTTCGTCTAATTTTGTATACAGAAACAAAATAAATTCTTGTTCAATTAATTTCAAACAGTGATATTTCTCTTAAAGAAATTGTTGTAAGACACCCTACCAACATATAAATGCACTGTTTGGGACTGGTTAAATGTTCTAGCAATAAATGTTTTGGAATTGCACGTAACATCAAGCTATTTAAACAAAGCTGTCTGGGAGAATTTGGGTTAATTCACTGAAGTAACTGGACAGAGGGCTATCAGTGAGTTGCAAGTTTCAGAGCCAGTGAGTCACTAGAATGTTTTATCCAGCTGGTAAGGACAGTTTTCTTTCTTGACACTAAATTTTTACATCCAAATGAGTAGGCAAGTTTTAGTATCTTTCTAAATGTCTGGGTTCATTGAAAGGCCTTACATGATATTCAATTGTGTAAATTTGAAAGGCATCATAATTCACAGTAAAGAAAGCGAGGGTGTACTCTTATCAGAGTCTTTCAAGATAAAATAAAACCTGTGCTTCCTCTGCCAGAACATTTGGATTGTAAGAAGCAGTCAATTATTTCTCTTGGTGAATTTACTGTTTTGTTGGTTTGGTTCATTAGGTTGAGTCTATTCTTTTAATTTTCAATGCAGAGTATACAGACTACAGTGCATTTGGAGAGCCTTACTTTGTGTCTATTAGTGCTTGTTTTAGTCTGGGAGAAGGAAAATGGCAAGTTCTTGGATTTTGCATCACCTTTTGTCCCTTTTTCCCTTTCTTTCAGTGAAAGTATATCCACACTCTGTTTCAGGTCCCTAGAAGTATTAATTGTGCTTTCTTCAACATTGTGTTACTGTTTTGGGTCTCCTGAGCAAACCACTGATTTTGAGTCCCATTAGTCTGCAAAGTGAATGGGAAAACTGTAGACCAGTCTGAATAGAAAACCGCCCTGTTCAGTGGTCATACGCATTATCTTACCATCAGAGCATTATCTTGAGTAATGTATTGATTTGCTTCCTGCTGTCTTTGATCATACATTTCATTTTCTGTATTTTATGTCTTGCTGTTTAATGCCAAGCCCTCTATCTTTAGGCGGATTCTTGCTTCTGTCTGGAAGAGTTTTTATTTCTGTGCTTGCTAATTGGTCCATTAATTTCCATGATTCAGTGCTAAGCTGGAGTGTATTTTGAACTGCTGTTATTTTCTCAGTGCTGCTCTGTGTGCTTTGTTGTGAGGTAGCCTTGAGAAAGTGGTTTTACATCGGAAAGACAAAAACACCACTCTCTATGGTTTAAATATACATTTTGGCAGTTGTAGTATGTTGCACTGAAATTGGGGCTTATTAGTGGAAATTCTGTCATACCTTCATCCATAGCAGAAGCTAGCAGGAACCGCAAAAATAAGCAGTGTAAAACATGTTCCTAAGCTCAGCTAGTGCATATGTTTGCCTTTTTTTTTTTTGCTTGTGTTTTGCATGTTTTGGTTTTGTTGTTTGTGTCTCAGTTTGCTTAACTGCTAAGCAGTGTACAGCTGTATATAGTGTATGCTAGGAAGCTCTTCTGTATACTGTACAAGGGGTTGTACTGTTGGGCATGAAAGGCCACAAACATGATGACGGGGAGGGACTACTACTCATATTTCTGCAGTGCTTTTGTGTGGCTTGGGAGTTAATCAGTGCATTAACACTGCTAAAACAATAGCATTTACAAGGCAGCTCTGTGTGAGTGAGCAGATAAATTAACATCAAAGCACAGTTGTATAAGGGCCTTACATTTACTTGAGCAGCAGAAATGCCGCTGTGACTAGACAGGAAGAAGAAATATTACTAGAGTGAGAACAATACCCTTTCAAGAAGGAAGAAAAGGAAGGAGAAAAAAAAAAAAGTACAAAGGAGGGGAATAGTGTTAAAGGCATCTCTTAGTAACTGAAAGTGGTTCTTATGTTAACAAAGGGAATACAGTTTGCTGGTTCTGTCTGCTGTAAGATACCACGATGACAAAGCTTGCAAAGTGACAGCTTCTTCAGTTCACAGCTGTACTAATTATGTTGTTGCTGGCTTGATTAGACATATTGCGGTATAGTACAATAATCTGAGTTGCCTTACGATTTGAAAGGGTAATGTCTGTTTCACGTTTGAGTATTGCGTCTGTGTTTTACCCCATTTGAATTTATTTTACTGCAAAGTGATAATCTCACTTTTTTTTTTTTTTCATTCTTCATTTACCTTTTTTTTTTTTTTTTTTTAGCCCGGAGATTTGAGCAAAGTCAAATGGAAGCCTGTGGATACGGCAGATCTATTTTCACCATCTGTCAGTATAGTTACTAGTGGAGGCATCCCTTTCCAGAATGTTGCATCAAATGGGTTGTGCATTTTCCTACATTCCTTCAGAGAACTGATGCTATAAAACTGGTCCTACCAGTTTTTGCCTTCCTCTGCGCTGTGAGGCATAAATGATTACTTTTTATCACTGCTGACAGTGAAATAAAATTAAAGGTCTGGGTCCTATTCAGGAAATGGTTTCTGAAGCTGTCTGTTACATTTTTAGTCTTACCTATAAATAATTCTCATCTTTGAATGTGGTGAGGAAAAATGCACAAAAAATATTTTCACAGTGGTAATGTATTTTTCCCACAGTGACATTCCCTTTCTAAATCCTTAAGCATCTCAAGGCCAGCAGAGAAACTACATACAAACCATTAAGAAATCAAAGGTATTGAAAAGATAAAACAAATGAGTTGTATTAAAAGCTTGACTGTGCAAGCAATAAGGTTGTAATGCTGATACTGCTTTTAGTGCAGGGGTGACATTCCTAGCACATGTGGTTTGTGTATCCATGTCTGAGTGGGTGGTCTAGAAAACAGTGCGAAGTGCAGCAGGAGGGCTTAGTTTTTGAGCAGTGCAGAGAAGACATTCTGAGTGGATTCTGCCAGCACCACCCAGACTATATGCGATAAAGCAGTTTTCTTCCAGTATTCTTGAGCAGCTAAGCTTTCACTTTGAAAATATTTAGTTGAATAAACCTTATTTTTTCCAATGCTATTAGTTGCACTCAGGAATTTGATCTTTGTTAGGGATAGAGTTAGGTCAGGAGTGGGATAATTTTTCTGTAGTTACTTCATTTGGGCAGAAAATGAGAAGATAGAAGGTGGTAATCTTTTTATTTCTTCTCAGCACTGTTCAGCTGGCACAAACATGAAATGTTTTCCTTTGAAAACGCTCAAGTGTGGGAAGAAGTTAATGCTGCTTTCACTAGTGTCACTGTCTTTTGGCTCAGAAGATGAATTAAGATGAAGTTCCTCTTGAATGTGTACACATGTAAGATAGGATGTGGCTTGTGAGCAGAGGGACCTAGCAGTGTTGCTGTTATTACTACAGAAATGTATGAGTTAGACTTTCTCACCATGTGAGCAAGTGAGGTAAGAGGTATTTGTGAATAAGGTATGGAATTAGATCTTATCTTTTGCCTAAGCTCCCTAGAACATGTGCACACCATCTATGTATAAATGACTTTTTATTAGTATCTGCTGGGATTTTTGAGTACTTCACAGCTCTCTCTTTGAAATACCATGTGTAATAAGAGTCTCTACTAGGGCAGGCACTTGTAGTCATCTTGCAACTACAAGACAGAGCTCTGCAGTGTATTGCTTTGAATTAAGTTGAATTGTGTTGTGGAGTAGTCATGATCTTGATTCTTCAGATAAGTCTTTGTCCTTTACCCTTTTCAGTTACAGAACTTAATCTTTTAAAAATTTTGGAGAGAATTAATTGTTCTTTTACCACCTAGCAACGTCTTCCATAGAGGTTCAGATTCTTAAAATAATTAACAATAAAACATCGAAGCTAGCACTTTCTCCTTCTGTCTTGGCAATCTGATATACTATATATCTGACCAACCATCTGATGGCCTGATTCAACAGCTACCTCTGAGTTGAAGCAAGATAGCAAGATGCTATTTAACAGAATTGTTGAGATTGGAAGGAACATTTGCAGGGTCATCTTGTCCAATTTCATGATTTCTATCTGCAAATCTGATTGGCCTTGAGCAGACTATTTTGGAAACTCCTGGCATTGAGCCTTTCTCATGCTATCATTGTCCTAGTAGAGTAAATACTGCTATGAACATGAAGTTGATATCTCAAAGCTGTCATGTTACTGTTACTTTCTGAACAGGATTCTTTCTTTCTGGATGTGTATGTTTTTTTCCTCTCCAAGGCCTGATGTGGTTCAGGTCTTCCTCTACTATGTGCAGTAAATGAAAATCATCTTAAAGGTGCTGCTTTATTTTTTGACAATTTAAGTATTTGGCCTTACAGTCCTAATGTACTTGTTTGGCTATGGATTTTACACTAACTATTGCTACTTGTTGTATCATTATTATGCATGTACTATATCATCCTCTGACGTATTAAATTTGATAAAAATACTTTGTGCCGTTTCAGTATTGGATCTCTCCTTGGAACTTATGAAAAATTTGCCATCTTCACTGAGCATCAGAATTCCCATTGTCTTGAAGTGATTTCACAGAAAGTTATCCTAGTCTTAACTGCAGTATTTTTGTAATAAGGCTTTCTGACAGTTCTTTGACAATATTATAGCAGCAGAAAAATCTCAGGTTTATGCAGGAGATAACCAGATTTCCTTCCATCCGTCACCTAATCTTGTGTTCTTTCTTTTATGTTTTTGAAAAGACACTATGACATAATCTCACTTAGGCACAGGATAGTTGAGTGTATTTTGGGTCATCAAACTCATCATGAGTTTAAACTCTTGTGTCTCCAAATAATCTTGCTTTCTTCTACATTAATGTCCCTTGAATGGGACATTCTTGCTGGTGCATGCAGAGAAGATTAGCACAAGACATCTGACTTCATAGCTATGAAAGAACTTTTGGTTGAACCTTTAGAGGAAACTTTAGGGAAAATCTTGTTTTACTGTGGTTGGTCAGCAGTCCTTTTCATCATCGTTGTTTTTAATTACTATGAGAAAATTTCACCCTATGACCTGTGGAATTGTTTTATTCTAGTTTTATCAGAGCACTCACTTGATTAATTTATGGCTCACATAATCTGCTCATAGTAGTCATGGGGTTTCGAAGA